CCCCAAAACCCCAAAACCCCAAAACCCCAAAACCCCAAAACCCCATTACAAATTAAAATTTCCAAGAAATATTTAAATTCAAATAAAATGTCTAGAGCTAATAAGAAAGTCTCTACCCTGAAGGGGAGGAAGAAGGGGGATAAGTCTATCACAGGATCTGGAGTGAAAAATCCAACTGTGGTGAGACACCAGGTCCCTCCAAGGCAGAATCATCTTTCACAACACAATGTGAATAGGCTGCATGCTCCTTCATATTCAATGGCTTCTATGTCTTCAAGCACTCTTAGAAGAGGTATTGGAAGTGGAGCTTCTCTTCCTCATCAAAGGGGATATGAAGGCCATGTCTTTACAAGACCAGATGAGTGTCAAGCAGCTCAGAATAACTTTGTAATTAATCAATATCATGCAAGAGAGATGCTTCAAACCCTAACAGAAGAAGTCAATGGTTTGAACAGAGACAGGGAAGAACTGAGAAGAACAACAGAAAATGCACAAAAAGCTTATAAATAAAACAATAGATTATCTCTCACCATCAATTAAAGGCCAAGAAGGTCATTGCATTACCACTGAAGGAGCTATGAGAGAAGATCCTCCAGAGAAGGTCTTCCTCGAAGCGATCTCTCTCTCAAAAGATTTGGTGCAGCAAACTTGAGAAATTATGAAAACTCCGACCAAAATAGATTTTAATGAAGATAATGAACATTTTAGAGACACTGATAAAGTTCTTCATATGTCTCCTCCTCTATCAAGATATAATCCAACCACTATGCAGCAGACTTTTGAGCTGAACTTAGATGGGATCACCCTAAAGGATCTTGAAATTATGAAGAAGCAGAACGAGGCTCGCTTAAAGGCTATCGAGGACCAATACTTCACTAAAGATGTAGAGCTAACTTGAAATATAGCCAAATTGGAAGAGCTTACTAAAGATGAACAATACATCATCAAGTCGAAGGACAACATTGTCAACATACCTCTGAACAGTCTCGCTGAGATCAATGGAGACATGATCAACTTAGATGATGAGGAAGAGGAGAACGAACAAACAAAGTCCTTCTCTAAAAGACTGATATACGAGCTGAGATTTGAAAAGTACCTTAAGAGGAAAATTAAAGATGAAATTGTCCGGAAAGAGAAGTTCAAGAAGGACCAGTATATCTCTCCAGAAGAGCTGGAAAAAATCCAGAAGAAGCTCAAGTTAGAGAACATGGTCAAAAAGAAGCTTGGAGGCAAGATCCTGACACCTGAAGAGGAAGAGATCCAACGGATCCAAGATCAAGCGAGGATTGACTGCGACGATGAATATCTGATCATCATCAAGCAGATCTTCAATGACTGTCTTGAAGACAGCGAGAACCTTCACCCTAATGAACCAGATGAAGATAACTACGAGAGAAAGCCACTAGATTCTGTGGATAAAGACATATTTGTCTCCAGAGTTCTTTCTGAAGAAAAGGTTAAACCATTCCTACATGTATTAGCTAGAGATCCTCAAGGAGCTTCTTCAATAGATTCTGAGAGCTTCTTCCAGGTGCTGACTAGGATGCAAAATTATTGCCAACAAAAGTACATCACTTGGGACAAAATCTTGCCATATTTTACAAGGAAAGGAGGTCCAATTTCTGAGATCGATATCAAAAAGCTGATCCCAAAATCTGATAAAGTCAAGGAAATTGATGAAGATGAGAGAGCTGCTCGTAACAAGAAGATTAACCACCAAGTACGTCAGAAAATGTCTCAGATGCCTAAATTCCCAAAGAAGGACGGAGAGGGAAAATACAAAATTACAGTCCCAAAAGCTCCACAATCTGAGAAAAGAGACCAAAGAAAAGGCCTCAGTATTAGAGAACGCAAGCTCCAAGAAATGATAAAGTATGACGATATCGAGGATGAATATGAGCTTTCTCAGAAATTCAGGGCTAAACCAATCCCAAAATCTACTCTTGAGCCAAGATTTAAGAAGATTATGGAAGCCAATGAGAAAAGACGTAATGATGTAAAACAGAGATCAATTGCGATGACAAAGCAAAATGAGAAGCCATTCTCTTTCTATGAGAGAGATATGAAAAAGCTTTTCCAGCCTCCAGTTTATGATCCCGAGTATGATGTCATGAACTATGAGCCATTTAAAGCTAATCCAGTACCTGGTCACGCAAAAATTCAGATGTTCCAGTATAAGACTAATAAGGAGAACAAGGAAAGAGATGCAAGGATTAAAGAAATGGCTGAACTTTCTCTTTCTCAGTCAAGACTTCCACCAAGAATGGCAGTATATGAGAACCAAAGGCTCACTGAAAAGACCCAAAAGAGATCGAAATCTCTTGATAATCCAGAATTTACATTCAAACCAGTGAGAAGCAGGCCTGTCCCTGACTTTGAGAGGATACATTATGAGTTCCAGAAAGAACTAGAGGCTAAAAGAAGGTCCAAGAGTGTCACCAAAGGAGAACCTTTCCGATTCAGTGAAGCAAAGCCTAATAAGGTACTCCGCCAATACATGGATGCTCAAAACAGGCCCGAAGAGAAGTTGATGACGTTTAAAATGAGGAAGACACAGGCTGAGATAGACTCCCTCAAGCCACCCACTAAGACTGCACAAAGCACTCTTAAGTTTGATTCTCAAGTCGCTATGAGAAGAGCTGAACTGGAAGCCAAGCTCCAGAAAGAGCTTGTACAAGCAAGAGATGATATAGATAGGGAGTATAAGACTACTAGGATGAAGGATAGAGTCATGAAATCCCCTGCAATCCATAACAATACTCAGTGCCTTAGAGAGATGCGTGAGAGATCCCAGAGACAAGCTAAAGAAAACATGGAGTTTCTAGAAAAAGTATATGATAGAAAGAGAGCCGAGATCGATGTTAATGTCGCTAACCGTCCCTTGCTAGTCGAGATGCAATCTAAAGACTTCTATAACCAGTATGTTCAAATGCAGGAGGTTGAGAAATATGCAAATCTGTTAGAGGAAGCTAAGTTTGATCCGAATGAACATCTGACAGAGCATCAAAAGATATTACTCAAGAAGGCAGAAGCATTTGAGCAACTTAATGCAGAGCATGCTTATTTTCCAACTGTAAATCAAGCATTTTTATGCCAACCACTCCAAGAGTCGATGCAAGTACAGCAGTTTGACCAAGAATTTGCACAAGATGATATGGAAGATGAGATGGAAAATGAGGGATACACTCAACAACTCAATGAAGTCCCTGAGATGGAGGAGCATGATGAAGGAGGTGACTCAGAAATAGACCAAATGCCACCCCAATATGATGAGGACTATGAAGAACAATACGACAACCCTCCACAACCAGAAATGATGGCTTAAATGGAGAATTCATTAACAGAAAAATTCATTTATATTTCAAAATTTTAATTTTTAAATGGGGTTTTGGGGTTTTGGGGTTTTGGGGTTTTGGGGTTTTGGGG